AGGCTGATGATAGTAATTACCATTTCAAACTTACAAGTAAATTATTAATGTACTGGGTCAATAGTTCTATTTTACAGAGATTTTTAACTATTTTTATTAATCACGTGCCTTTGACCAGAAGTGGGATAATGCCTTTAAAACCTACAGTTTATAAAATTTCAAGAAGTTATCTTGGTTTATGATAGGAAATAGCATTTCAAACTTACAAGCGAATTATTAATGTTCTGTGCCAATAGTTCTATTTTACAGAGATTTTTAACTATTATTATTAATCACGTGCATTTGACCAGAAGTGAGAAAATGCCTTTAAAACCTACAGTTTATGAAATTTCAAGAAGTTATCTTGGCTGATGATAGGAAATAGCATTTCAAACTTACAAGTAAATTATTAATGTACTGGGTCAATAATTCAAATGTTCAGAGATTTTTAACTATTATTATTAATCGCGTGCATTTGACCAGGAGTGGGATAATGCCTTTAAAACCTACAGTTTATGGAATTTAAAGAAGGTGTGTGGGCTGATGATATAGACTAGCATTTCAAACCTACAAGTAAATTATGAATGTACTGGGTTTATAATTCTATTTTACAGAGATTTTTAACTATTATTATTAATCACGTGCATTTGACCAGAAGTGGGATAATGCCTTTAAAACCTACAGTTTATGGAATTTCAAGAAGCTGTCAAGGCTGATGATAGTAATTAGCATTTCAAACTTACAAGTAAATTATTAATGTACTGGGTCAATAGTTTTATTTTACAGAGATTTTTAACTATTATTTTTAATCACGTGCCTTTGACCAGAAGTTCGGATAATGCCTTTAAAACCTACAGTTTATGGAATTTCAAGAAGTTATCTTGGCTGATGATAGGAAATAGCATTTCAAACTTACAAGTAAATTATAAATGTACTGGGTCAATAGTTATATTTTACAGAGATTTTTAACTATTATTATTAATCACGTGCATTTGACCAGAAGTGGGATAATGCCTTTAAAACCTACAGTTTATGCAATTTCAAGAAGGTGTCTCGGCTGATGATATAGATTAGCATTTCAAATCTGTGAGTAAATTATGAATGTACTGGGTCAATAATTCTATTTTACAGAGATTTTTAACTATTTTTATTAATCACGTGCCTTTGACCAGAAGTGGGATAATGTCTTTAAAACCTACAGTTTATGGAATTTCAAGAAGCTGTCTGGGCTGATAATAAAGATTAGCATTTCAAATCTGTGAGTAAATTATGAATGTACTGGGTCAATAATTCTATTTTACAGAGATTTTTAACTATTATTATTAATAACGTGCATTTAACCAGAAGTGGGATAATGCCTTTAAAACCTATAGTTTATGGAATTTCAAGAAGTTGTCTAGGCTGATGATAGTAAATAGTACTTCAAACTTACAAGCAAATTATGAATGTACTGGGTCTATAATACAAATGTTCAGAGATGTTTAACTATTATTATTAATTACGTGCCTATGACCAGAAGTGGGATAATGCCTTTAAAACTTCAGTTTAAGGAATTTGAAGCTTTACCTTTGGACTGATGATATTAAATAGTATTTCAAACCTGTGAGCAAATTATGAATGTACTGGGTCAATAGTTCAAATTTTCAGAGATTTTTAACTTTTATTATCAATCACGTGCCTTTGAGGAGAAGTAGGATAATGTCTTTAAACCTACAGTTTACACAATTTCAAAATGGTATCTTGGCTGATGATGTTGAATAACATTTCAAACCTGTGAGCAAATTATGAATGTACTGGGTCAATAGTTCTTATTTTCAGAGACTTTTAACTGTTATCATGAATGACATGCCCTTTGCCCGAAGTGGGATAAAGCCTTTAAAAGTTACAGTTTATTTAATTTCAAGATTTCCTTTGAGCTTATAGTGGTAAATAACAATTCCAACTTGTCAGCAAATTCTGAATGAAATAATAGTATAGCATTAATAATGAAATAGTAATAATGATACTCACATGTCCTTAACCAAGAGTGGGAATATGCCTTAAAAATCTACAGTTGGATGTATTGTATGAGAAGGGTTGATTGTTAGCACACTATTAATGTATTAGTGATTTGCATGTAGTAACCTTTAGTATTTTGAGGGAAACAGTGATTGTGCAATGCTTGATTTGTGTCTAAACTGTCTGCTGTGTGTGATGCCCTTGAAGGGTGATAGTTATTTGACTCAAGCTGAATGGGTGTGAGTGTGTCAACTGTTAGGTTCATGTTATATCTATCTGGTAAAGTTATTATGGCGTTCTTATTCCTTGTTGTGACAATATCTGCTTGAGTAAAGTTGACTAAAACATTACAGTTATCGAATCTAAATTTTTAAACTATTTTTTTACTGTTCATATGCCCTTAATTAGATAAAGGAAAACAACTTTAAAATCTGATGATAGTAGATCATATTTCGGCTGACTGACTGAGTTTGGTTTTACGCCGCTTTTAGCAATATTCCAGCAACATCACGGCGGGGGACACCAGAAATGGGCTTCACACATTGTGCCCATGTGGGGATTCGAACCTGGGTCTTCGGCGTGACGAGCCAACGCTTTAACCATTAGGTTACCCCACCGCCCCTCATATTTCAGACATGTAGAAAGCAGACTATGAAAGCAAATAGGCCATTAATTAGTACAACTTTAAGAGAGTTAACTTGATTTAATCCTGTATGCCTTTGACCAGGAGAGGGATAATGTCTCCTAAGTCTAATACTAACAGAATAATCTGACATTTAAAAATTGTGGGCTGAATCTTGAACAGGACAATATCTCTTATTTTCAGAGAATCTGTACAATATTAGTATAATACATACAGATTCAACCAGAAGAGGGATAACACCATAAAATTACAATCAATGGAATCTTCTGATTTCATTTTGGCTGCTCATAGCAAATCACACTTCATATTTAAGAGCACACTGGGCTGATCTACAGTACTAATTTTAAGAGATTTGTTTAATAGTATTACTTATATTCCCTCAACCAAAAGTGTTTGAAGTGGAACAAGTTTAAAATCTATATTTTAATGGAATTTATTATTTTCTTTTGGGTTATTATACTTCATACTTATGGGCAAAATCTAAAAGTAGTGGGGCAATATTGCATGTTTTAATTTCCTTGACTACATTTATCACACAAATTCCCTAATCCAAAGCTGGCATAAATTGTTTTCGTTTGTTTGTTGTTTGTTGCTACACAATATTCTAGCTACATGATATCTGTAAATAACTGAGTTGTACCAGACAATCCAGTTATTGAGATCATAAGCATCCACACATGCAATCATTGAGACTAAGATGCTAGACAATGACTAAGTCATTGAGCCTGACAACCATATCCACATCAGGTAGCATGGGTTTCTGGGGGAAAATTACACACAAAACAGTAAATATGAAGGCATCATTTACCTTGACAGTTTCATCTCAGTAACAATACGTCATCAAAGAAACTTCAGCTGCTTGGCCTTCTAACACAATGAGCAGATGACCCTTTCAAGCAAATTGTGAAGGGGGGACAACTCTAACCGCTAATTTGTTCAGCAAATATAATGTTATTGATGACAATGCATGGAATAACAAGTTCAAGCTGCTATGAAGGGCTCATTGAATTTCCCATTTATATCAAGCTGACCAGGAAGGGGATTTTCAAAGGAACATTAAAGAAATGTTTTTGGATAATTTCTACACCATCATTTTTCTTCAAAGTTATAACTATAGCCTTCTGAGATGGGGCACAAACTCTCCACTTTTTTTTCAGGCTGAAGTAAATATGCCTTGTATGTCTGGTGTCTGTTACAAACAGCTTCCGTGTACACAATAATGATGAAAGCTATAAATGATCATTACTGGCAAATCTTATATGATAATAGCAGTAATATTAACACAACATTACTTGGAGGCTAAACATGTTATAAAAAAGGGAGCCACTAACTGCTTAGGGGGCCATGTGAACTTTTGGGGATGAGAACTTTAACTGGACCTTTAACTCAGCATTATCAGCATAGTATTATGTGTGATGGTGTGTTACTGAATACACCCTACCATTATAAATAATAGATCACCACTCTTTTTACAGTGTCATGAATGTGTACATGAACCCGTATATTTTTTCGAGTATTTCATAAGAAATATTCTCTGAAAAGTATGACCAAGCAACATACCAATCTCTTATATACTCTCACAAATGGCATAACACAAATAACTTAGAAGTCTTAAATCCCCAAAACAAACTTGAATTGTTATACTTACATACCCATCAAGAATGGATGTAACATCATTAAAAAATAATTATGACATAATTTAATTTTCTTTTATTCCCCGTTCTTACTTGAAAAGGAACTATTTACTGTATTATTACATAAAACACTGTGCAAAAATGGCCAGGCTTGCCGATATTTAGATACAACTTACTATATTTTTATAAATATTAGCATAATTATTAAACTATAAAATCAAAATCCAATACCATTTACATCATATATTTTCTGGTTCTATTTTTGGGCATATACATATATTGTTAAAAGGAATAATTAGCTATATTTTAAAATATCATTAGATATTGCAAGAAAGTCATATTTCAAGTTGAGCAGTAACCATTTCTAGGAATGAATGAATCATTATGAATAAAAATGAATTAAAACACCTGACACTTAAATTCAGCATCCACAACCAGGAACATTAATTGGTCGTTCACTTATTTTAAGCTAGTAGAATAATTACAGTAAAGCGCATGAAAATGAATTCTATTTCGTTTCAGTTTCACGTTTCTACATTTTTTGCGCTGCTATATTTAGCTATTATGGCGGCATCGACTATGGAGCGCTGCCATTGGCATTTTTTGCAATCAGTAGTTAAAATAAAGGACACGAGTTGTGCAGCTGATTTTGATCTTAATAATTGTTTGTCGATTAAATACATAGTTGACAGTAAGACGTATAATTCTCCATATTAGTTATCCCAGTTCTGGTCGTATCCCAGTTCAATGCGACTTGTTGCAGTTGTATTGACATGCCTTATCGCTTGTACTTTGGTAAGTCTTAACCAGTTGAGTAGGTTAAAGATTGAATTTAAGGTCGTCATTAGATATTATATGTAATCAACAACCCATTTGAACCTTGTGACGTGTGACAATGCATGTTGATTTTGACAGTGTCAGTGTCTCACTCAGTGACCGATGGGGCCGAACCAACAGTGATCAGCTTGCGTAAGTGCGCACGGGCGGATCTAGGGTGCACACCACCCTACCCCATCCCCCTCTCCCCTGAAAAAAATTTCGCTGCGGTTCATTTCCCCAAACCTTTGGACTTCATGATTTATGTGCACCCCGCCTTCTCCTAAATCCTCGAAGCTCTCATAGCGCTACATTAACATTGGCTGTAGGTGAATTCGTAACCAAAACCGGTTCGTAGACGTTATTAAAATGGGAAAAGTTCATCCTCAATGATGAAGAAAATCGACGAAAAGTGTTTGCATTTTGTGAAATAAATAAAATATATCAGGTAATTATGATCGGCGGTGAAAATATCCTTAAATAATAAAATAACAAAATATGCTTCACAGTGGTCCATTTCACAAATTCCGACAAATCATAGGCCGCTAATATTAAATTCAGTTGTGTAAAATTAAAAGATATGTATTACGTAAGTATCGTCATTCAACGTTTAACTACGCAGACCAGCAGAGAAGTAGCAGAAAACACTTCTTAAGAAAACACTTACATCTCCCACACAGAGTACTTCGCAATCAAAACAACTCACCACTTCCTAATTAACATTCACAACAACTCAGTGAAACCAGTTAATCCACATACACAACACTCTTCATTCACATTTCTTGTGTCCTCAGCATATCGTTTAGGTATCACTGAAAACAAAGCATCACGGAAAATATTCATTCACAATTTCCTTGAGTCTTTAGCTGCCCTTAGTTTTAGTATCACTGAAAACAAAGCATACCAACTTAGTTATAAACATTCTAAGTAACATCTAAGTAAAATTCAAACTATATATTCAATTATTTATACACGTCTACGAATTCACCGTCTACGAACCGGTTTGGTTCTCACGAATTCACTGGGCGTCCTACTGAACTGGTTTTGTCTCACGAAATCACCGTCTCCCTTAACATTAACCTACCACTATCTTAAGCTAAGAGAGCTTAGAAAATCTAGGCATAGGACGCCCATGATGTGTTACTGAGCTACCATGCAACCAAGCCAAAGTTTTATCTGAATCGGCGGCGGCCGAGTTTTCTGAGGATGTCAGGGACATACAACTGCCCTCGTCATCCCAGAAATTTATTAGACACCTTGTCTCTAAAGCAAGAGTTCCTAAGGATTTACTAAGAATGGTACTTATGAAATATTATCTTTGTCACTAATACAAATGGTCTCAGTGGAAAGAAATGATGTGCTTAGAAAAGACCAATACATGTATATCTCTTTCAGGTGTGCATTGGCCCAATGTTTTGAGAAATATTGATGGGAAGAGAATCTTAGCAAGAATTATGGATCTGTTTGATCCATAAAATATCATACCTACCTTTTTTAGAATTATGGAATTGAAAATAGATGCATTACAGTGCTTTGGTAAATTCAACAAGGACTGTCAAAAGTTTACATCATGCTTAACACCAGGACTAATATAAATTGACAATGGTATGTCTGTAATTCTCTTTGTTTCAATGTAAAACATAAAAACAAATAACAATACACAGATTGTCACTCTGTTTCTGATTACTTAATTGACACATTAATGTATCCGGTGTCAGGGGTTTTAAACTGATGTAACTCTTATTTGTAATATCATTTAAAGTTTTTATTTTACTAACCTTGAGTAATAAAGGATATATTCATCTGTTTCACACAAAATATCAAGTGTTTCCTACAAAATTAGTGTTGATGACATTGTATCAGCCCGAAGTTGTTGCCGCTCTCAACATCTGGGTATTTTGTATGGGTTTTAATGACGAGCCATACTTTTCTGATCCGCTTTCTGCAGTGTTAATGATCACGTGGCTTCCTATTTATATATTGCCTGTCACTAGCAGACAACTGATTTTACTGAATTTTCGCTTGCTATTTTTTGCTATAAAGACAATTGATTTTGCATCTGAAGTGATATTAACGATCTCGAGTAAATGATATTGATGTTTGTTTGCTTTTTATATAACTTAGTTAATGATGGTGAATAGTGCAATATGTATGTATCCTGTTGCTGCATTCACATCACCCATGAGTAGTAATTTCCATCACCCATCATGACCATGTTTAATATGCTTTCTGTCCAACATCCATGTTTTTTACTGCTTACCTCAGAAGTTAAATACAATCCAGTAAAAGTGATAAGCATGTTAAAACAAATTAACTTAACAAATGTTCAACTGTTTGCATGATATGTCTGTTTACAGGGTTTGAACCACAGTTTTACCGTTGATTACACCAATGCTACATTTCTTCAAGATGGCAAGCCCTTTCGCTATATCTCAGGGAGTCTGCACTACTCTCGAGTACATCCATATTACTGGAAAGACAGATTGACAAAGATGAGGGTATCGGGACTAAATACTGTACAGACGTAAGTAAGGAATGGTGGATGTAGTCACCTGCTTTATATCAGTCAACAGCTGTCTTTTAAGTATGACATGACAGACAAAGCACCTTGATTTCCTCAGGGCCCATACTGAGGATGCTGTGATAACTGACTGACTGACTGAGTTTGCTTTTACGCCGCTTTTAGCAATATTCCAGCAACATCACGGCGGGGGACACCAGAAATGGGCTTCAGACATTGTGCCCACGTGGGGTTTCGAACCTGGTTCTTCGACGTGACGAGCCAACGCTTTAACCATTAGGCTACCCCACCGCCCCCTGTGATAACTAGAGATATATGTTGTAATGCTGATGTATCAGTGAACATGGTCAAGTTCTTGTATTGATGCTAAATTATTAATTTACTGCCACAGAAATGTGTACATTTAATTTGATTACCTTGATTAGGATTTATAATTTGATGGAAGAATAATCATTCTGATCATGATCAATCCAGTTCATATGGGTACTTTTATCCATGTCCGTAACGTACGAATTGGAATATCTTAAGAACCGTAGACTAGATTCTTTTCATATTTGGTAGCTAGGTTCATCACAGTATAAGAAAGATCCCAATCAGGTTTGGTGACTTTGAAGTTAATTTCAAGGTCACAAAGGGGACTAACGTTTTTACTCTTGTGCGTGTTACTTTCGTCACATAATTTTCAAGGTCATGACAACACTTTGAAGATTTCAGCATATTAACATTCATGTTATGCTTGTCAGCGAGTTACCTCAAGAACCATTCACTGGATTTTCTTCATATTTGACATCAAGCTTCATCCAGGAAGGTGCAGGACTCAGTCGATTTTGGTGACCTTCACTTAATTTGCAAGGTCACTGCGACACTTTGAAGATTTCAGCATGTTAACTTGAGATTAACTTGATTTTTCATAGACTTTTAACACTTCCCTTGAATGTTTTTCAATAAGCAATTTCTTTAGTACCATTTTGCATATTTCATACACTATGACATTCATGTCAAGGTCAAAGTCAGTCTTGAAAATATTTGTGTGTTTGAACAACTAAAGAGAAGATATCAAGAGAGGTTGACTGGTCATGTTTTTGTTGACATTTAACTTCATCTTAAACTTTCATTACTTTTATGTTTGATTTGATAATTTCTTGTGATGGGGATTATGTCACCTTAGTGACAATGCTTATTATCACATTTTATTGCGACTGTGTGTGAGTCATATAGATTGAGGTTGCATGACCTCTTTTGGGACTCCATGTAAACATGAAAACTCAGTAACTAACATGCACTACAATGCATGGGCGCATGGAGAGTTGAACCCTAAAACAAAAGTATACATGGTGGAAAAAGAATCCTGCGCCAACAAGCCAGATTAGATTTCTTCTTGGTAACTGAAGACCTCTTTAACATAAATAGTAATATATCCATCATACCTGGTTATAAAAAGTGACCATTCTGCTGTAGCGTTATCTTTATCAACACAAAAATAATAAGGAAAAGGAATGGCGGCTATTGGAAGTTTAACACATCATTATTGAGGCGAGAGGAATATATAACACTAGTAATTGACTTACTTAATGAAACAAAAGCGAAAATCATAGATCCTACATATTCAGATGAAGAATTAAAGCGAGATTAATGATGAACACTTACGTTTGACTATCAGTGACACTCTATTTTTAGTGACATTTTAATGAAACTTAGAGGAAAATCCATCTCATACTCTTCATATATTAAGAAAAGCAGAACTGCAAAATATAAAAGAACTAGAGAGAATATATGTCATATAGAAGATGAAATAGAAGTAACTTCCAAAAGCTAATGAAACACTTCTTGCTGATTTATCTAAAAGTAAAATGAATTGGAAAAAAAAGAAGAAATAAAAAGGAATCCAAGTTAGAAATAGAATCAGTGGTATGAAGAGGGGATAAACCTACACATTATTTTTGTCATTTGGAAAATAGAAACTATACAAAACAAACATTAACTCCCTTATTATTGATAATGGTGAAGAAATAGCAGATGGACGAGAAATAATAGTGGAACAAAAGCGATTCTATGAAAACCTGTATAAATCAAATAGCGACATAGATGAAGACATTAAAGCTGTATTCGAACATATTGCTACTCCTTCTTTAAATAAAGAACAGTCAAATGAACTAAAAAGCGATATTAGTGTTGAAGAACTTTTAGCATGCTGTTAAATCAATGAAAAATAACAAAGTCCAGGTTTAGATGGCTTCCCTATCAAATTCTTCAAATTTTTCTGGAAAAATCTGAAAATTTGGATTCACCGATATATAAAAGAAACTTTCAACCAGAATTCTATGACTACGACAATGAATAGAAGAGTAATTACATGTATCCCTTAGCCAGAAGATAGAAGATACCTAAAGAATTGGCGACCTATCTCTCTCCTAAGCATTGTATAAAGTTATAAGTACTTGTATAACAAACAGGATTAAAAAACTTTGAATTTTCTTATAAGCGAAAATCGAACAGGATTCATTCAGGAAGATGCATTACGAGGAAAACATTAGACTTCTTTATGACATTATGTTTTGAAACTAAAAGGCAAAACATAAAAGGTTTACTAATCTTAATTGACTTTGAAAAAGCTTTTCGACACCGTGTCAAAATTATTCATTAAGATGGTCCTAGACAAGTTTGGTTTTGGAAGTAACATTCAAAGATGGGTTAACATATTGATTTCTAATGCATCCCTCGTGTATGATACAGAATGGTCACTTGTCCACGTTTTTCGATAATGAAAGGGGATGTAGACAGGGTGATCCCATATTTATTTGTATTGGTAGCAGAAATACTAGGAATAATGATCAGAGACAACCACAGAATAAAAGGAATTGTTTTGAGCGACATCGAACATGTTATTGGTCAATGTGCAGATGACACTGAATTATTTTTGGACAGTTCGAACCTCTCTTAACTCATTAAGCCGAGAGCCCCATCACTACTCAACACCTGGAAGCCCTAAGCTGATTGCCCCTCTCTGTGCTGAGACTAATTAGTGCTAGTCACACACGGGAAAACTGTCTAGTCATTTACAAACAAGTCCTGATTGTTTAATTGTGTCGTAAAGATATATGTTGAAAGAAATCAGGTATGAATACATGTAGTGTATTGCAAGCTTTATGTAATTTTATTGCAAGTTTCTCTTGTAGACCTTTTGTTGGAAACTTGTACATTTATATTTTATCACAATATGCATACACATGTATTCTTTGTATGTAACAGGTGAGACACCACGTTAACAAATTCTCTCTCTTATATCATTGTGTGAGGTTTAAATTTACAAAACATCTATGACAATGACATACTGTAAAGAAAGAATTTACTTTCATACTTTATAATCTTCGCCGAAAATAGCGGTTTTGCCAATACATTTCTAGTGTTTCACGAATTATTTTAATGAAAGTACTATAGCAGCTAGTCTGTGACTAGCACAAAAGCACATTCATAGCATTGCACTTTATTTCATCTAGATTTAATGCAGAAAACATCACATGACCATACAAACACATATACAAAATGATACTACATATTCCTTGCTTAGACATAAAACAAAGAGTCACGTGATAGAGGCGTCATCAAATTTCGAATAGAGCGTTAGGTATCTCAACTGTTCAATGTAGTGGCTGGTCATATGTTATCTCGACCAATTGTATCATGAGATACCTGTCACAGAAGGAAAGGACAGGTGATGGTAGTGGTGAAAATTTCTGAAAAACACGTTTGGTCACTCAGCAGCTTGGATAGAGATTGGTTATTGGCTATATCGTTGACCAGTTGATATGCTGGGTTTCGGCTTTATCAACTCAAGCTTTCATGTAACAGTTTGTGTATTGTAAACATACACACTAGTATGATGTATGAAATATACACATAAGACAAATAGGAGTAGATAGTCACTTTAGCGAGTTTATTTGTCCTCATTTTAGTGTTTTTTTCGATAAGTAAACCAAAGCGATTGAAATCCAACCACTGAGTGGAGGTAGTATTTATTTTTCATATACTATTTATGCACAACTAGTACATAAAACAAAATGTTTTTCTGTACATGTAAATATAATCTTCACCTTGATCACTGAATGACTATCAAACTAGAGTACCGCATTACACAGAATTCGCGAGGTGACACTATACTGAATTATTATAGTGTATAAACTTGCAGTTGACACCCCACCCCAAATATTTATGAAGGTGGTGCGTGCCTATATCTTTACTGAATGCAAGCGAGGTTCATAAGATTACAGATGTGCATGCATGTATAAACTATCACAGAGAGTTGACTCTATAAAGCAAGATGTCAATGATATAACAAGCATCTGTTTATTTTACACTTGTCGCGGGACAAACCTTTCAACAAGGGCGTAACTACATATGCATTCTGCGGGAGGGCTGTTATTTCAAAGGTCGAAAGAAGTTCAATTATCTCATTACTGTAATCTGCTTGAATGATTATGCATGTGTATTGATACCGTAACTGATATACTATCCAGCTTTTATTGATGATGGATCAATAGAGGACTGAGTTGATTGATACCGTGATAATTGCACGGTTGATAATTACACAGATCAAATCACAAGCGTTTTACAGAATGCTCATGTAAATTGCATTAGAAAACTGACAATTCAAATCAACATGAAACTTTCAACAGCTTGAACAAAATGCTTGAAATACCTTTGTATGGCTTACATGTAATAACTTATGATATTACTTCTGTCCATGTGTGACAATGTTTTGAATTACCAACTTACTGTCTTTTGTAACAAGCGTAGTAAAACATTTCATTGTTGTAATGTTATAGGGACTAATTCAGGACAGCCATCGTCCAAATATTTAAAAGTCCAAAACTATGTGCTCCAAGACATGTGAGACTTTATTGTAATATATATATGGCTAAGCTGTATTTTTAATCACTACTGTACATCCTTATCACTACCGCATTGTAAATTGACTTGTCAGCCCATTAATTATTGTATAAGACATTTATCCACCTTCATTGGTAATCCCCTTGGCGTGTCTGCCATCACATCAACTGGTCCAAAGGAAGTGCTATTGTTTTTCTGTCTGTCCATTGATGTGTGGAAATTAAGCCTGTCCATTGTTGTCAAAACTGTATATATACTTAGTATGCTCCCACATCTAGACAGTGAAGAGCATCACGAGTTAGGTATTTGGACTGTCTGTTGGAGGCGACCATGAGCAGGATAATGCGGCTCGTAGGAAGCGCCCTGGGGTTGAGCAGGTACTCCGCTCATCTGCGCTCATGTCTTATGTATTTGTTTGTCATGTACTAAAGATGTTTGAACTCAACTATGCCTTACGTCTTTATCAGCGCACACTTCATCTTAATTATGAGCTAATTCCCCAGTTGACATATAATCCCCAGCGTTGACAGTAATAACACTGACATGTATATATGTATTGATGCAAAGCATGACTTATCACTTTATATTAAGCTTAGGTAACATTACGAACTTTAGATATTGAAAACAACTAGTTACAATTCAGTAAACTTCAAATTAGTAAGTTCAATTATGTTTAATCTATTCGAGCTTGGATGTATAATTACTTGTGTTTATACATTATGTTTCAGTATATGAAACATGACAGCGTAATGATGCCTAAAAAGTAAATTCAAACTATTCTATTGTGTTTGAATTCTTTGTATGTCCTTGAAATTTAGAGTATATTGTTTCCTATTTATTAGGTAGTTGAAGGAAATATAATTTTTAGTAACCTCTAAACCATTACATCTAATTCAATCAAGGTGCATCACTGAAGTATTTTAGTATCCATTCCCAAGGAAGAGTACCAGGCACTTACCTCTGTAAAAACATCATAATCCCCTTTCTGCGCCGACATCGTTCATTTGCTAAGCGGCTGTACAAGCCTATGATAATGATTAGCAATTGTTATCAAAACACTTTAAATACTTCTTCTGATTGATACTAAAGGTGGGATCTCTCGTAAGAAAAGCTAACATTTGCTCCAGTACTACTGAATTGGTTGAAATAATAGGTACAGTCACGAGTTTTAAAAGTACAACACACATAATCGTCTCTGAAGCTGAATAAGAGGTGCTTTCTGTTGGCGACTGTATGTGGCTCGCTGTGAGAAACTGCTAATTACCTGCCCCATAAACCGTCACTTTCGCTGTGAGGAGCTGATTAATTTGCCCCATATATCGTCTCGGCCTTAATGAGTTAATGAAGCTATAGAAAACTTTGCTTTCCTTTTACAAGATGTCAGGTTTGAAAATAAATATTGATAAAAAGTAGTATGGCTAGGCTCAATGGCAGGTAGTAAAATAGTTCTATCCAGGACTATAAGCTGGATTGGCATAATGAGAATTTCAGTATTGGGAATCAAATTAAATGCTCATTTAGAAACCTATGATTAATTAATACAAAGAAGAGACTCGAAAATATAAAAGAATTCTACTGAATTGGAAAAGGCGCAATTTAACATTGATAGGGAAAATAACCGTTGTTAAAAGTTTAGCTTTATCCACGATTGTCCACATCTTCTCTTCTCTCCCTAATCCTCCAAAACATTTATTACTGATTTGAACAGATTATTCTTCAAATTTATATGGAATGATAAAATTGATAAAATAAAGCAGAATTAATTTAGTACGAAGAGTGCGAAGAAGGTGGTCTAGAATGGTAGGCGTGAAAACCTTTATCGACTCTTTAAAACTTTCATGTTTGAAGAGATATATTTCAAAACCTAAGAACTATGCTCTCGCGGTTTTCCTCTACAAAACCTTCTTTTTAGGGCCAACATCACAAAACATTATAATATTAAAATCCATTTTTGAAAGATTCTCTTGATGCCTGGCATAGATATGTTAAAAGATCGGGTATGTAACAATAGCGACATTAATGAAATACTCATGCAGCCACTATGGTTAAATCACCAGTGTAACCAGCCAAGTTTGATCATTCATAACTGGATTAAATGTGGAAAAGTTTATATTAAAGATATTTATAGCGACCCGCATTTCTATTATTTGCAGAACTTAAGGCAAAATTTGGTATTAAAAGGTACTGTACTTGACTTTAATCGTGTTCTCCTTAGTATACCCAAACAGTGGAAAAAGAAGTTATCACGAACAAACAACAATTTTAATATACCGTCGTTATCTATGTGCTCTCCTTGGAGCGATTTGATTAAACCTAGTAAAGGTTCAAGGATATTCTATGATAATTTTATATCTGACTATAACATTCGAGATGTGTTGTCTCAAATGAAAGCGGGGAACTAAATGAGTTGATAAATTGGAAAACCATATTTTCACAATATAGACAATGCACTAAAGACCACGAAACTTTTGGTTTTTAATACAGAGGTTTTTGCATAGAGTCATTTACACTAAGCGAAAATTACTAAAAATGAAATTGATAGATAATGACCTATGTACATTATGTGGTTCAGTAAGTGAGGATATTTACCATGTATACCTTGATTGTCCAACCATCAAAATGTTCTGGTCAGAATTTAACAATTTTATAACTCAAGTCCTTGGTAAAAGCGTATGAAATGTCAAACCATGATATTCTATTTTGTTGCAGTAGTAACCACTTACTCAACCACATGATACTATTGGCAAAGCATACATTTTAAATGTAATGAATATAAAGGACACAAACCTAAGCTGCACCATCTACAGAACATTATTAAAAAGATGTCTATGAGATGAGATAGAAATATGTCGAGAAGAAAAGCGATAATATGAAACATTTTTTCAGAAAATAGAATGTCCTAGATGCAGTCATGCTAATTTTATTTTTTAGTCTTTTAATTCTCTGTAATATTAGCTAGCATCTCAATTGTTAATCTATATTCCTAGTACCATATGCAGTGTGAAATAGTTTCCAAATTTTGCTAGCCAGTCGAGGGCTAGCTATGCTGAAAGTTACTAGCCCACAAAATAATTCACTAGCCGAAATCTGAAATCTGAAACTAAGCAAAAGATTACAAAATAGGTAAGAATAATATATTGTGGGCATGACACGGGTTTTCATCTGTGAAGCTGCTAATATGATGGACATATTTATCAGGCGTACCCTGTAGGATGTAAAGTGTATTATGCCAACAAGTCAAGTCACGATATTTACAAAATGACCCCATGAAAATTCACTGTAGCTAGTCCGGGCCAGTGACTGTGGAGATTTACTGGCCCGACTGCAGCAAGTTTTCCACTATGCCGGGCTGGCGGGCTGAAGTCTTTATTTGGGCACTGACATGTTATACATTTATCTGCTTTTATTATGCAACCTGTACCATTCCTACTCTACCACATATCTTGTTCCAAATGCCAACCAAGTAAAAGTGAATAAAATACTTTACAAAAAAAAGAGTAAAAAAACCCCAAAACATGCACTACAAAGCGTTACATATGCTGAAGTTTTTCCATGTCAACTGTTGCAAAGAGGCGATCACTCTAAACAATTATATCAGAGGTATTTTAGGTATATGGACTTACCAGTAGAATCTTATCCGTTATGGAAGCCCGTGAAGTGATATCAGATGGGCTTAAACAAAGGGGAAATCACGTCGTAATCTTGCTATGTATTTTTAAATATTCAGTTTAGCCAAAATATTGATGAGTTGGTATGTATGGGCAGTAATGAACATTGTATTAATGTCCTGCTATGCTTTATTAATTTCATTTACTAATATGATTGTTAAAATCATAAACATTTCACAGTTAATATTGGCATAATAACTTTTTCATGTTTGTTTTGCAAAGCCGATTCAGACACTTAATGTAGGCGACATTCTGTGAAAAATATAAAGTACATACATGGATCTCTTTATGAAGTTTTTAAATTGTTTTGTGCCAAAGTCGCTCAAAGAGCTTGGTCGTTAGTATGTCCCTCATTATGCATTGGAAAACAAATACATATTTATAGCTGACTGCCTTTTCATAGCTTAAAATCCAGAGGTTGAATACAAATGTATTAGAATGACAAGTCCGGTAAATTCGCGTCTATGTATGAATCTAAAACTTTCCTGGATTGTTTCATAGGTGATCCAAAAATGCAGTGGGAATATTTAATTCAATCCTCTAAACCCTACCATGTAACAATGGAAGATCACGGGACATGATAAATGATATTTTTAGGTCATTAGAATTTGCTAAAAATAACTATATTTAAATCAATGTGGTCGATTCAGCTCCCATGTTTATGTGTTTTGATCATGTTGATATTGTGTGTCCAATATATCAATACCTTAATTACCATTCCATGACACCCCCAAGTGATCACTGATAGGAATACTAATTACATGTAACTTTTGAGATTCATTTTGACAGAGAATGGAACATGTTAACTAATGGCATACAGATACAGCAAAAACATAGTACAGAAAGCGGCAATTCATGCTTCTGAAATATTGGATGAATACCAGAAGTTATCCCTAATGCGACCACCTTTCTACCTTTCTGTAGTTATGTCCCCTGGAACATTCACGAGGCAACCCCTAGGAGAGTACCAGTGGGGCTACAGATAAGCGTGACCTGGAGCAGCCTTCCTGAAGTTAGCTGGGAAGAGGGGGCTAAATGTCCTCCTCCGGCTTGGGGCCCTACATCTGTGGAAGTAGGGAGTTTGTAAAGTCTCCTTCACTCTGGTGGACATCAGGGGGGATTATCCAAAAGTCAGACACCCAATTAAGCCTGAGTTGTTACCTAGTATGTGGAGTTGTTGGTGATGTTGGCAGCTAGGATAATCTCACTGCTCTTGTGATCTGAATTGATTCCTGACAATCTGACATCTTGAACAAGATTAATTGTCTTTTTGAATGGCTGACTGTTTAAATCTATTTCAGGCTGCACTAGGCGTGTGTGTGTCTATGATCCTGAAAAGATAAAGCAGTGAACCCTGTAAATCTGGAATCTCTTCCTTCCTGGGTGACTGCTGTACAGAGACATTTCGAGATAACCAAGTTCATTATCCTGGAAATTTAATAATGTACTGAGGTTCACTTGAACTTCATGGATTAATGGTGATATTGGTAATATCATCCTCAGTTAGGCAGTATTGTCAGATAAGGGGAGTAGGACAGCAGTGCTAAGTTTAAGCCAGTAGCAGTTGTTGCAACACACAGACATTGCCAAACTAGGAATGATGGCTTGTGTTCAACATAAAGTTATCTTAATGAAACTAAGTTAGGGACATGTTTTGTTCATGCAATAATCAAGACAACAAGATGTTCTTGAGTGTCTGAGAACCCTTAACACAGAGGATAATAGACATAGAATGTATTTCAACCAAAGCACATTGTTTTAGAGGTCATCAAATGACCCAAAAGGTGACATCAGTCAGAAACTAGGCGAGTATAAAAGCATGTGTAAAATATTCTAAGCAGGATCTTGTACTTGTGCTTGTGCACCTTAAGTTTGTAGTGGACACTTGGAACCTTTTATTGATCAGTGAACAAAGGGTAATGGTCTATGGCCACTTCAATTTCAATTCTTGTACTCACTTTCTGGACCCTGTAGCTCCAGTTGAAATTAATCTTCAGCAATCCCTGCTTGCTGTAAGAGGTGATAACGGGATCGGATAGTCAGGCTAAATGACTGGGTTGACACATGTCAAGCATTATCTAGTAAAATAGATCAATGTTCATGTTGTTGATCCCTGGATTGTCTGGTCAAGACTCACTTATTTGAACCCATAGCCATATAGCTGGAATATTGCTGAGTCATGACGTAAAATAAACTCACTCAAACTCACTCTCAATTTTCTGGGGTTTATGTTTTCACTTTTGTTATGAAAATATTTGATAGAAAGGGAATTATATTAGTTCACGGATATGATGAGAATAACATTCTACTTGCCATCGATAAAAGAGTGACTGCATCAGGACAAGATTTTGGATGCTGCTGAACCACGAAGTGTTTTATATGTGACTGATGCTACATGAAGATGTGATTGCAGGAGGTTTCCGGCCTGGCTGTTGACCAAGAACCCAGACGCGTGCCGGGCAGTGATCCATGTAGTGACAACTAATGAAGGGGCCCTGTGGGATCTTAGGACACACTGCAGCCACTCTCCTTGACATGTAAGAATGATCACAATCACCATCTTGTTCAGATTGCTTGGATATCTTACCTTTGGATGTTTGAGTTTTACACAGAAATATAAAAAATAGCACAATATGTGGTTAATTTGTTTATGTCACTGTCCAAGGTGCAAGGCGAAAGGGTCTATATTACAGAGCTAGGGTTATTACAGAATGGGCAAGTGATCTATTTGACCGACTAGTCATCTACATTATGGAACAGAACAGAAAATGGTTGGTGATCTATTTGACCCGATGAGTCATCACATTATGGAGCAAGTGTTCAGAGAATGGGCCAGTGATCCTTTGTCGACTAGTCATCTACATTATGGGCAAAGGGTTAGAAGTGGGCATGTGATCTGTTTGACCCGACTAGTCATCTACATTATGGAGCGAGGTTGAAATGGGTGATGATCTATTGACCCGACTAGTCATCTACATTATCTGGAACAAGGGTTAGAATGGGCATTCTGATCTGTTTGACCCATTAGTCATCATTATGGAGCAAGTGTTAGAGGAGAATGCGACGTGTCTATTTGACCGACTAGTCATCTGTGCCGGGCCCAAGTGTTAGAGGGAATGGAGCAGTGATCTATTTAACCAACTAGTCATCCCATTATGGAGCAAGTGTTGAAGAATGGGCAAGTGATCTATTTGACCCGACTAGTCATCTACATTATGGAGCAAGGGTGAGAATGGGCAAGTGATCTATTTGACCGACTAGTCATCTACGTGGAGCAAGTGTTAGAAGGTAGGCAGTGATCTATTTGACCCAGAGCTAGTCATCTACATTATGGAGCAAGGAATTTGAAGATGGGCAAGTGATCTATTTATTCGACTAGTCATCTACATTATGAACAAGGGTGAGAGAAGAATGGAAAATTGATCAATTTGACCAACATGTATTTCCAATACTTGTGTTTCAGTCACAGCTCATTTAGCAGAGTGTGAGGATGATGGGACAGTGATGATGTGTTGAAGACCTGAATAAGAATGATATGGTTGTGAGCTTGAGGGCTGCTGCCTGCTGTCAGCTGATCCGAAACCGAGCTACTGTAGCCATTAGTCTGATATTGTGCGTCATGTATGTTTCTTCATATCTTGGGTATTGCTGATATTGTGTACATGTGCCTTCCATTGCGAAGTGGATAGATGGTATAGTGTGCTGCTGCCAAAGATCAAACCATTCCTAATATGAAAATGGGGTCCTGTTATAATGGTGCAGGTGAGGATGATACACATAGCTATCACTATAACACCAGATTAGGCTTGCATCTGCTACCACCAGCTAAATTCCATCTACTGCAGCAGACTAAATGGATCCCATATATGGTGTCTACCAATGTACTAAGGTACTAACAATCCAAAGTCGTCAAACTCTAGCATTAATCAGAGACCATATACCAAGATTGAATTGTATCAGACCTATTTGAGGGACTAATCACTGTCGTGCGAGACCAAGTTTGGACTTTCACCGAGACTGAGATATTTGGAGAGTTACATACCAGGGTCTTGTAAATTGGTTTTTCCATGTGTTCAGCCTTAACTGATTATAAACTTTGAGTTTATGAAGTTTCTTGATGATTTGTTAGAGAGCAATACATGAAAAAA